GGGTGATGGAGAGGACATTATGTGAAATTCTGAAGAACCTTCAGGGGCCATTACAAACCACTTAGCATATTTATACCATGAAATATTCAGCCAGCACTTTTCCCAGTAAGCACACAATCATTCTTGAAGTCAAACGCAAACAAACTAAAAAGCAACATGTGAACATATGGCCGCCTGACAAACTCACTCGCAGAGGGACAGCAGCCTGGGAAACATGTTTCATCATTGAGGATGTTTGCAGGAGTGGAGTCAGTAGTGTACGTGCCATTAAATGACATGCTTTATATGTTGTAGAGGGATCAAATATGATAATATCTGCACAGACAACAGCTCAAACTTTTTATATTTTTAATCAGATGCAAGCTAACAACTGAATTTACTTGAGAACATTGTAAAGAATTACAGTTGTTTAATAACCAACTTCATATTTGCATAGATTTTGTTTGAAGAGGCCTCTTTCCTCTTCTGAATGTGCCAATGCTGGCGAGGATAGAGGAGGAATTATTTCAGTCTTTGTATATAAAAGGTGCCTTTCTTCCTCATCCTGTAATTCTAATGGTGCGGGTCTGAAAGCTTCCTTCCTGTCTGGGAAATGACATGCTAATGGCCTGCTCTTCCCTCTTCTCCAGTCCTGTATCACAGCTGTCTAATGAGGGCATCAGTGTATAAGTGGCTGCTGATGATGGATGGCCTTCAGTTTTATCAGCTGCAAGCAACTGATGCTAGTAGTGCTGAAGATATGATCTTTTTGCTTTGGACAGAAATGCTTCATTTGTCTTTGTCTGCAGAGGTCCAAATATAAATTTTCTGCTCTGCGTCTATTGTCATTTAAAATCATATTGTTTCACCAAATGTGGACAAAAATGCACTTATGTTCTGAATATTTCTGTTTGGACGGTGCACATACTGAGTTTAAAGCTGCTCTAATCAATGTTTTAGGATGGAAAAGCCTGCTGTCAGTCAGTTGGTCTGCCACTTTGGTCCAGACTTAAATATCCCAACAACCATCAGATGGATTGGGATGAAATTCATTAAGACATACACGGTCACCTGAGGATGTATCCTACTGATACAGGTGGACATTTGTAGTTTTGATTGAAATGTCTTAACAAATATTGGATGGATGGCGATGATATGACATTCATGTTCATCTAAGGATGAATTGTAATAACATTTCATGATCAAACACCTTTAAAACTAAGTGCTAACTGGCAAATGTTAGCATGCTACCACATGAAACTGAGATGGTGAACATGGTAAACACTATACCTGTTACAGATCAGCATGTTAGCATTGTCACTGTTTGATTGTGGATGCTAACATTTAGGTGGAAGTACAGCTGATCCATAATTATCAGACAGACTCCTGTCCTATCAATGGATTCATTGACTATTTTAATGTGAAAGGGGACAGTTGTAGTGACAAACTCTCACCTTACAGTTCTCCTCAGTTTCAGTTTTTTGGCAAGAAAACTCTACTGTTTTGAATCACTCTCTATCTCAGCAAAAAAGCTCTAATAACCCGCTGTACATTACCTGCCCAGCACCAAACAACAGACAGACAAAGCATCAGAAATTTCCCTCAGGAGATGGCTGATGACCAAATCAGAGCTAGGTGGCCCCAAACAAGTCTTTAAATGAATGTTGCTCTCCGCTGGGTGTGTAAACAGGAAACTTGTAACACATTTGAAAGCCTTTTAAAGTGACAGCATGTCAGTGTTGTGTTAACAGCTTGTTCTGTTGTCCAAAATTGGCCAAGACATATACTGTATATAAAAAAGAGGTTTTGATGTACTTGAGCACAGAACAGTTTGAACACGCTCTCTACACTTTGCCTGAGATTTGTGTGTGAGTGTGTATGAAATGAACAATGACCATGTGGGGAGAAATCATCTACTGGCTGCAAAAGAATCAGTTTGTGAAGACAGGAAAATGCACAAATGGATATCCGCTGCAATTAAATTCATACAGGTAGGAAACTCTGGTGTGCATGATAGGAGGACTATGTTACCAGTTAGATTCCTCATCCTCTCAGAGAGGAGAAAAATATTAAACATTAACTAAGGCTATCTGAACTTTGTGGTATGCGCATATATCTTCTTCACCTGTATCCTATAGCATACTTACATTGAATAAAAGTTTTAAAGTGAGCTGAACATGAATGTAAATTCAATGAGTGCACATCTCAGAGAAGCTGAACGTTGTACTACTGCTTCACTCCGTTCAGTTTTATCCTTCTCTATTTAAAGTGTCACATTTCAAATGGAATTGCAAATCGAGTGTAAATTTAAGTAAGGCGTGCCATCTGACGTCTATTATCAAGAGGATAGTTTTCAGTTTACTTCCTTATCGCACAGGGAAACAGGGAAAAGTGGTATTATCACACACATAAAGTGAGTGTAAGTTAAGTCCGTAAGAAGATTTATTTGCATAAGCACACACAGCCGAAGCAGCTTCCTGTGAAACAGCTTTTGATGAAAAGGCCTTGTTGAGGGAATATAAATACTCTACCACTGAATGTTGCTGAGGTCTTCATTCCTTTAATTTCTTAAGGAATATATATATATATATATATATATATATATATATTAACATATTAAAAAACATGTTTGGTATTAAGCTAAATACCTACAGTAATACCTGACTCTTTTGAAATGTCTCTCTCTTCAAAGTACTGTTAGGCATTAAAACACTGAGAGATGGAAATGAATTATGGAACATGCAAGATAAAGATATTTTTGCTTCATTCCATTTTTAAAATCATCTTCCATGCTGCATGATGTTCACTGCACTGACAGCTATATATCACATGACCATCAGTTTGACAGTTAGGTACAGTTCAGTTTGCTGTAACAGATGTGTGAGCGTCCACCATCAGCACTGAAGCACATTTGTATAAGTTCTGTTACATTTAGTGACTAACTAAAATGTCTTGGTAACAATAATAATACGTTTCTTATTTAACATAATTTTCTCACTTTAACATCAAATATCTCCACTGAGGGCAATGACAAAAGAAAAGCACTTCAGAGCTTTAAAGAATTAAATAATGTTATTTGTTCAGCATCTATTAAGACAAACTCAGGCTTCACTGAGACACCGAGGATTTGCAGTTGAGCAGACTGTCATGTGGCAAGTATTTTCTCTGATGAAGTTTGTTCCCAAAGCACACATCATTCTGGAAGCACTGTTGGTAAATAAACTACTTTTGGATATAATTCATTTCCCTGTTCTGGTCGCTTTTTAATTTGGGTTAAGATTGCTTCCTTCTCGATTTTATGCCCTGGGACTGAAAATATTTATCACCACTGTAATATCCCTGCATAGGAAATTTCATGTATATGGCACCTTCACCGGCTGGAAACTTTATGTGCCTCAGATATCAGTGATGAATTTCACACACACATGCTGACAACCTGGGAAATGTGAGGACTGGTTTATGCAATTCATAAAAAAAGCAAAAAAAAAAAAGCAACTGGACTTGATGATAAACATTCACACTCTTGATGGTGAATAGTTTTACAAATATTAATGTGTTTCTCATGTAGGGGTCTTGTACATCTTGTGTTTTTTACCAGGAGAAATCACATTTAAACAGGAATAGAACAGCTGGATAAGATAAAGATAAATCACACACACACACACACACACACACACACACACACACACACACACACACACACACACACACACACACACACACACACACACACACACACAGTCTTACTCTTTCCTTTTTTCAGCCTACAGGAAGCAAAACAAAGTCATCTGTTGTGGAAGACATTTATTGAAATCTACTTCCCCCTTGTGGTTACTGTTCGCAGCAGCAAATATAGACGCTTTGTTAGACTAGAGTGAAGTTAACGTCTCTCTCTCTCTCTATCTCTCTCTCTCTATCTATATACAGTATATGTATATATACCTGAAAATGCTGTTCCCTCAGATTGGTTGTTGAGAAAACAGTCTGCTGTACTGTTTTACATAGAAAAATGTAAAACTAAACTCATACTCACCTCAGTGGCTTTGTGTGGGTGCCCGTGTCATGATGGTTCCCAGCTCTCAGTGTTGTTACTTATTCTGAAAGACAGAAAGAATAATTCCAACAGATGTTTTGACTCTGTCATCAACAATTAACTGAACTGGACCTGCAAAAAACTAGCCTACAAACAATTAGGCAAACTTAATATAAACTCACTCACATTACACTCACATATCTGCTGATCTGCTGGCCCTTGAATGAACAGCACGTCCAGCAAAATATGTTAACAATAGCCTGTCAACGCAGAAACATTACCCTTGTGAGTGATACTATTATATTGTATCATAAGATGTTGCTACTGATGCATTGATATATAGGCTAAGCAACGTTTTACTGCTGTTGTTGGTTGTGGTGAAGCCAGCTATTTTACATACTTTTGGGTATAATGAACCATATCTTATAAGCTTGTCATAGGTTTTTATGTAAAATCTTGATTTGAAATATAACTATTAGATAAAAGAGAAATGTAGTAGAAAAAAAGTACACCAGTTCCATCTAACCTGCAGTGGAAGTGTAGAAGTAACGTATTAAGTAGAATAATATGAAAATACTACAGTACAGAGTACAGCACTTTAGTAGATACAGCATACAGTTACATTCCACCTCTCAATGGAAACTCATGACAAAAAATAAGCCAATCTTGACTGAGAAAATCAACCTATGTGCCTTTTCTATAATAGGATGGATTGGATTATAAAACTATAGCGAAGAGTAAAGAATATAAAAATGAGTTGGACTTTTCTGGTTACTTCCTGTCGTTTGCATCCGTTTTTGTTTCCATTCACGTGTTCCCTGAAGACGCATGTGCGAGACCACTTGAGGGAGACATTATTGAATCACTGCTGCTGCTGCTGCTGCTGCTGCTGCTGTTTTGTTGTTGTTGTTGTGGATGATTTGTTTCCTCCGCCCACCTGTCTGTGCTATATTAACCGCTCTCAGCCTGCAGCAGCGGCACAGCAGCTTCCTCTTCTGCCCCACATGGAGCTGAGCGGCTCGACACAGCTGTTTCACTGAGGATGGATGCCAACATTGTTGTTATGGGTACAGAAAGCGTCGGAAAGTCAGGTAGGCTAAAAAAAACAACAACATGTCTTCAGAAGAGATCCAGTTCTATATCATGTCTCTGTTGCACATGGTGAGTTAAACGCTGTTGTTTTTCAGCGCTGACTGTGCGGCTCTTAACCCGGCGATTCATTGGAGAGTATGGAGATATTGGTGAGTGTCCAATCTGTTTTATTAACATCGATGAAATGCAGCATTTCAAGTTAATTAAACTTCATCATGAACTTCACTTTTCTTTTCTCTTTTGTTCCCTCTTTTCTTGCAGAGTCCATCTATAGTCACAGTTTTATGGTCGATGGGAGGGAGACCACTCTCAATATTTGGGATTCACCTTGTTCTGAGGTAATGATAAACTAAACTATTCTGACAGTTACTATACAATAACTTTTGGTGTTAATAATGCTGCTTTATTCTGCTGACATGCTATACTACTGTTACCACTGGTAGAAGAAGAATCCTGAAATAAAAGTAGCAATAGGCCTACTACAATGTAAAAATACTCCATTACAAGTTACTTGAGTAAAATTTCAAATTAAGTATCAAATGTATCTCCTAAAAGTTCATACTGTACACTACTATATTATATTGTTGTTTTTTCATTATTGAAATCTTGAAATACAAACATTATGGAAATGTTGCAGCTGGTGAGGATGTCCTTAATTTTAACTACTCTACTTACCATTGGGTAGTTTGATCTTTAACAATATATAATATCTTGGAAGATAATCATATGTTTTCTGTGCAAAATCTTAATCTGCATTGTAACCAACCATAGCTGTAATAGATGCACAAATTGCAGTAAAATGTAGTAATATTTCTCTCTGAGAAGTAGTGGAGTAGAATATCATATTTTTACTAAAGTAAAGTACATGTAAATGTATTGAAAACAGTACTTTCCACCAAGAGTCGTTGCTGTAGATGAACTTAAATGTGTGATTTCACAGGATTTGTCTGTGGAGACGTCACTCTTCGAGAAAAAGGTCCAGTGGGCGGATGGCTACGTCCTCGTCTACAGCATCTGCGACAGGGCCAGTTTCAATAGCGTCAGCAGGCTCATTCAGACCATCAAGTCCACCAAAGACTACCTGAACGCAGACAAAGCGCCCATAGTGATTGTGGGTAACAAGAGGGACCTGTGCCACAGGCGGACAGTGCTGAGCGAGGAGGGCCGGCTGCTGGCTCTCAACACAGACTGCCACTTCTACGAGGTGTCAGCAGCCGAGAACTACCACAGCGTACTCATGGTGTTTCACGGGTTGGTGGACAGGATGAAGGACACCAAGATGACCATGAAGAGGCCTCTGGGGTTCAAGGGCATAGTGAAAAGCATGTCTGCTGTGTTTGCTAGGAGACGGACAGACTCCTTTTAAGTAAGACCATGAAAGAAGAGGACGGAGTTTTCTATGAATCTGCATTCGACTGGATGGATATTACAGTGTCTGTCCGTGAAATGTTACCAGGTGTGTCACATGTTACTGTGCCAAAGGTAACAATAACGCCTCCAGAGGCAGAGACACTAGAGAAATGGGAACTTCTTCTCAGTAAAGAAGTGTGGAAAGACTCCAGGGAAGAAAAAAGCCATTAAAATTCAGAAAACATGGAGGCAATGCAATGTGACCGAGGTTACAGATGTTTTTTGGTGACAGGTTATGATTTTAGCTGCACTTCAAGCTGCACAAGATAAAATAGTCTTTCTTATTTTACAGATATTTAACATGTAACATATTATTGTGTGCGACAAGGAAGGCAATATGTCTTAAGTTATGTTTTCTGTTTTACAGATTGTAATCAATTCTATGCACAAGTTAAATGTGCCTTTACTTATGATGCATATGCTAAAGAGAAAAAGCTCTTCAAACCACAAGTGAAACCTTTGTGTTGCTTGAAAAAAGTAACTAAAAAATGTCTTGCTCAATCCTGTTATTAAGACTTAATAAAACACAAATATTTGTATTTATTCAAGTCTAAACGCTGTAAAGCAAAAAAAGAAACTGTTTTCTATATTTATGAGCTTTCCCATGTTTAATTCATTGACTATATGTCATGTACTGAAATGTATTGTTTGTCTAAACCCCGTTTTACAGCTCATAAGGATTTGAATAAAACACAAAATGTGCACAAATATACGCTTTTCATTTGTTTTGATTTTGAAATTCAAATTCTTTTTCTTCTAGTAATGTGATATATTTATTGATCCCCATGAGGAAATACTCTTACCTCATACGGAGGGGTGATAAAGCTTCAGATCAGCAAGGCTTAATCTTATAGAGACTCAGAGTGTTGCTCAAGGGCACAGGACGGATGCTAATGGAAATGAGTGCTTTATTGACTTGAACCAAGGTCTGGATGAATAACAGTCTCCTTCCTGATTATATCATCCTACTATCACAAAACCCTCCAGTACTGACTCTACAGAACGTCAGTGTCCGCATTTAAGGTTTTGTAAACAAGATTTCAAACAATAATATACCAGCAAACAACTATTTTCTATGTAAAGATATAGTGAAGTAATGATGTCCTGAGCAGAGAACAAAGTCACACATGCTCTGAATTTCTCTGTTCTTTGTTTTGGTATCCGGTCTTGCAGCGTGTGCATGTTAAGTTAGCTTGACTGGCTTTTCTTCTCCTTGATATTTAACTTGATGGCGACATAATGTTACATGTCTGTTTTCATTAGCAACCGGCTACAGTAGGCATGCTAACTTTATTCAGTTGTACTTCTTGCTGAATTTTTAATGGCCACTTTCACCGGGCTTCCTAACAGCTTGCTGACTACGAACATGAAGGGAGTGGGATGGGGATTTTGTCTAATTGGTGGCCGGGGGTATGGCCGATAAAGCATTTGTTTTGGGCTGAGATGCTGGTGTGACATCTAGTTGCAGCGACGATAAGCATACACCCTCAAAAGACAGTTTTGGATTGTTCGTGTCTTCGTGTCTTTCATTTTAAACAAGTGTCCTAATGTTTTGCTTGAATCCACACATTTATTACACATTCATCTTACACTGCTGTGGTCATATCTCAAAGTAATGGCCTAATGGGGTAATGACTCTTATAACATATTTGGAGAAGCTTGCCAAGAGAAGCATCCTCATTTGTACGAGTATGTGGAAGCTTTCTCTGGTGGATAGAGGGAGGAATTGATCCTGCTCAAGCTTGTGAAACTGCCAGTAAGCTTTCAGTGGACCTGCCTCCTCTCAGTCTGAGAGCAATACCATGTCTTTCCTGACTCCAACCCACTACACTGACAAACAAACACAGCCATGCTCATATTTGATACAGCTTTTGCACCGTGGATGTTTAGTCCAGGATCACAGACTGTGCAGAAAATAATAAACTATATGTTTTTATCATACATTTAAAAAGTTATACATTTCTTGAAACTGCTATAATCAATATCTTCATAATAATTGTATTAAATGACAACATGAAGACAATGTGACACTGTGAAAGAGATCACTCTTTTGTATTCATGAACCTGCAACTCCCCATGTCTTTACAGAGCTTTATTGCTTTATAGTTTCAGCTGGCTCGGCTACTCTCATAGTGTCACTTTCTGACTCAACAGGCAGGTGTTTTCAGTGGAAAAGGTCTACAAACCCACTGCATGCTACCTGTTCAGCACCAAAAAACAGACCAGGAGCTTTTAGCAGCTAAGGAGCCAGATATTTCCCTCAGGATACCAAAAGCAGAGCTGAAAGGAGAGTGAATATTGGACTCACATTTGCAAAGTAGCCAAAAAAATTGCTCCAAATGAATGATAATGTTGGATGTGTAAATAAGCAACTGGTTGCTAACAAGTTCAACTTTAAAGGTGATGATATATCAACTTGTTTTTGCTGCCCCCAGATGGCCAAATAAATGAGTAGTAAGATTTAATAAGAAAATAAGATTTAATGTATTTGTTGTATACAGTATAACATTTTGCAAATAGTGACAATGGAGGTTTAAAAAATTCAAAAAATATCCACTTAACACCAGATTATATGTCATGAATGGGATTGTCCACACAGATTAGGTTGCTGTAAAACATCTGGATACTTGATTGAACCCTTTTGTGTCTTCCCTGTCTCCCAAATCTTAAATAATGCTCAGACTTCAGAGCTATCCTTGTTTTCAATGAGTGGCTGCGAAGTCCACTCTGCAACTGGGAGACCAATTGTCCTGAAAAATTACTCTAATACGTCACTGACCTGATCCAGTAAACTTGGTCTGACCCCATACATTAGCGAAAATGTCTATTATTCTATTCCTTCCTTTAACCTCCGTTGTTAGGTGTCAGGAAGATGTCCATCTTTGTGGCTATTAAGGCAACAGCATGGGAGGGCAAATGGCAGGTAAGCTGGTGCCAGCTCCCCCTCTTTTCTATTCTTGTATATGAGGAATCTGACAGGAACAAGGCATGGGTTAACAAAGTAAGACTGGGCCCCTGCAGGTCTTTGTCACAGTCTCTGACCCCACTGGGTCGCCTCACAACAGGACCCAGACTAAACAGCAGCCTGACACAGACGTTTCACCTGAAAGAGTTGCCTTTGACTTCACTGGAGCTAAAATGATGTGCTGCTACAATGACACTGACACTTACATAGGAAGAACAAGACTCCTGTAGAAAAATATGTGTACATATGACATTTGCAGACCACATCTTTCGGTTTGAGATGAAAAGAATTAGGCCACAATTAAGCAAGAAATGTTCTGTGTTACCACTTTTCATGCCACTGAATGAAGAAAAAGCATTTGGAATAATTAAAATCCAAGAGCAATAATATATTAGCATATTATATTATATTAATTAGCATCTTCATTCAAAACCCTTGGATAGAAACATGCTTTTCTGACACTTGGCAAGCATTTTGTGCCATATAAGATGCTGTGACACTTAGCACACTTTGTACAAAATGCACTTTTATGACAGAAAGAAAAAAGGTAACCAGGCAATTTGCCATTCAGTGTTTGTAAAAATCTGTCAAATGGCTCCCGCGAGGCACTACACACCAGTAAATGCATTTTATGTATGGTATAAAGTGCTGGCCAAGAGTCACACTGAAGGAATGCATTTTGGGTACAATATTCTTGACAAGTGCTGCTCATCCTGTGTATTAATAGAGGCTGCTTGTATCATGCATTTAATGGCACAACATGCAGCATGTGTCATGTGATGCTCCATAAAAAATGTGCAATAGCTTAACCTTTCTTTAACAAAAAAAAAGTTAGGAGTTAGCAGTTCACTGTCCTCAAGTCTTTAAAGTAAGATTTTTGCTATTGGTCTTCAAAGCTTTCACACTTCAAAGCCTCACAACACATCTCAGATATCTATCACATTCAGCCAGGGGCCGCTTCTTCTTGTACATCTTGCTAGTGTCACATATAACACACTTCTGCCTCCAGATCAGCTTGAATACTTCAAGGAAAAAAATTTGTCAAGGTGCCAGAAATGTTTCCCAGAGACTTTGGTCCACACTTACCAGATGGTATCAGACGAGCAGCTGAAAACGCCATCCTGACAATGACCTCAGGCTGAAGGTCAGCAGCAGGTTATCAGTGCATTTACCAAGCATTTGTGCCTTTGTGCATTTAAATTGTCATGCAGCTCCTAACAATAAGCAAGTCTCTTTATTGTCTGATAAAAGCAGACCAATATCATCTTTTCAAATTCTAAAGAAGTTAACCATGCATAGTTTTGATAATGTCTTCTAATAATTACGTTTATCTTTAAGAGCATGTCTTCACACATCTTTGGGAAATTGTAGAACTCACTTTTTTCCATCAGTTCACTGCTCACCAAATAAAGGCTTGTTTGAGGTGTTGGAACTGAGATTCAATGTGTATGATAAGAAAAGACTTTGCTGACTTTGATCTGTGCAGTATTCATTTACTGAAGGAAGCTTGAAGGTCTCTGACTAAAGGCTTGCCCCCAAACAGTTGTGGCTGTTATAATGGCATCGATTCTTATCAGTTTGAGTGAGCCAGAGTCTGCTCGTGATCAAAAGATGATAGACCTGATTCACCTACACAAGCTTGACTGGAGCAGGAAAACAAGCATACCCACTACCAGGCAGTTGGAAAGAGGGAAATGTCAGAAATGGAGAGAACTGCTTTGAATTAAGTCACTCTGCAGTCTGCAATGGACTTACCATGTCAATATTCATAACTTGGAATACTTTTATGAAAACCCTTTTTGTTTTTACTGTTTTTTTAATTATCTGGGGACACTTACAGACTAAAGGAATATATCAAATATATATAAAATAATCGAGGAATGGACAGACGATTGGACTTCACGACTGCTTCAAAGGTAGGGAGTCACCACCGCCTCGCCATCTTGCTGGTTTATGATGCTGGTAAATCGAGTTAATTATACTTTTGTGATCAGAGTTACTGACAAATTAACTAAATGTTTAAATTGTGGATCATTTATCCAAGCTAACAAGGTATAGCATGGTAATACTGACAAACGTCTAAACATTTAAAGATCTTTGCTGATTTGCACTAAAATGATCAGGTTGCCCGTGACCCGATTAAACATCACTAATAACAAAAATAACCATTTGTGAAAATGTATCATCAAACTCTGCACAGTTTTTGAAGCACTCCTCCTTGAAGTGCTGGGTTCACAGTGAAATATTGAACAGTGGAGGGAACCTGGTAAAAATAAACTCAGACACTGAGTTCTTTGTGGTTCTGCTGTTGCAGAGCAAATAACGTTTCTCCAGGCAATTGAGAACACAGTGTCTTATCAACATGGCCACAAAACTAAAAAACTTTTCCTGGCCTTCATTTTTAGAAGTTGTGTGCTGTGCTGTGTGCCAAGCTTGCAGGGAGTGTCCACCTCGCAGGTGGGTAGTACTGAAGGACGTACTGACGTCAATAGGTCTAGGAAAAGTAAGGACTCCCAACACGGCGTTAAATGCAAATGAGAAAAGTGGTTGTTGCCCTGGCTGTACTCCCTTTGGTATGTACTTTGAACCTTGCAACTTTGTGGACCATTTACATGCTCAAAAAACTATATAATACACTATAGGAGAGGGAAAACTTGGAGAAGCACAATAGGTCCTCTTTAATAGTAACTGTACTCTAATTAGTTTTTCCCTTTTTACTGTTTATGTTCTGTATAA